CACCATCTCTTCAAGACAAAAACACAAACAATGGCTACCGCTAGTTCCACAATCATAACTTTTCCTTTTCTCCGTTCTCTTCCTTTTCCATTAAGCACTGCGATCGTCTTACTGACGAAGTTCTGTCGCGGTGTTGAGTTAAGAACGTATATGACTTAATGGTCCGAAACGTCTTGTCTCACTTTTGCCTTCTCTCCTACACTACCCCTTTCCTCCTGAATTCCTTTGCACCTTCGCCACCTGTACTTCCAGGTCCAGCCTTAATGCTGCAATCTGCTTGGCACTACTGGCCAGGGAGTTAAATCCGTCATCAACTTGCTGTAAGCAACCTTCGAAAAACCTTGAGCTACTTCTTGAGTGGATGGTTGCTATCGGCTGTGTACTACCACTTGGGCTACTTCTTGAGTGCCCTCTGTCTTCCAAAGAATGGAAATGTGGAGAAGTTTTAGTAAATTATTACTCTCCCTGTCTCATCCTCTTCCGAAAAAGTAGTACTAAAGTCATTTGTTGTTACAGGCAGTTATGCTGAAATCGAATAAAAACCTAAAAAAAACCAGACGAACCCAGCATAGTAAGGATGCTTCATATAACGACGCTCAATATTTTTTTCGACCTCCAGCAATCTCTGTTTCAGAGCTTTAAATTCGTGGTATTCAGTGAGGTGCAGCTGCCTATTTTCAGTCTCATCAGCCATATGATGCTCATAGTCATCGTCCATATTCCATGTGTCCTCGCTGTCAACGCTATCTGCATCATCTTCGCGGCCATCACCAGCAGCAGGCTTGAAATTCTTAAAAAAACTTTTATACATTGAGTCTTAAAAACTTGGAAACTTTTAATTTTTAAATTCAAATTTTCACAAAAATTTTAATCTTTTACATTTGTAATATACAATAAACGTGTAATCCATAAAAATTCGACCCAAGAAAATCTCCTTACCCCGAATCGTTTTCATAGCTGTTTGGAATTTACTTATCACTAAAATTTTAATAGCGTGCAAAACAAATGCTCGCTTGAACTTTTGTTCATAGACACGGTGGAATTTGAAAATCCGTTTCTGAGCGGAGTAAGATTTGTGAAAAAAGAAGTACAAGGAAGTGTTTTTCGAAAATCCTTCAGCGGATTTTCGACTTCGCATTTTTTTAGAGCTGAAATTCTTACTTGTGAAGTTGATTCATTCCAACAAACACGGAAAGGCACATAAACATTAATCGGAAACACACGGCTTGCTATATTTTTTTTAAAAAAACAGTTAAGAAGTCTAAAAAGCTTACTTGATCGTGGAGATTGGCGGCAACAACTTTCTGCTCAAATAGTCCAATCAGTCTGTTTAGCCGTGCAATCATCGCTCTGTTAATTTCACCCACTGTCAGCGGTCGATCAACTCGATGCAAGGTTACTGTATAAAAGTTACTGTAGTTTTTACAGCGACATGTAAACATGCAGAAAATGAAAGCTCATTCAATAGGGGGCTTCCCCATTTGTGAAGCTAGCGCTTAGGTACAGCTGAGAGCGAATATGATAAGGCTGCGGAGGTAAAGCTGAAAGCTTTCAGCTTTGAGAAACAAGCTGAAGGGTCTATGAATTCTGGTACCAGTTCCGCTGCAAATGAGTATGGGAAGTGCATGCCGCCTCGCTATGGAGGGCAATGAATCAACTTACGATGAGGACTTGCGTTGAATGTAAAGTTATCCTTGACCAGTAGACGATGCAGTACCCGTTCACGTATTCCACGTCCGTGAAAGGCCGAACGAACCTGATCCATTAGTTTTCCATTTGAGATCATCCACCAACCACGCTTACATTTATTATCCAGCTTGCGCAATCGTACTGCAAAAGAAAGTCAGGAGCTGATGATCGAAGAAGAACAGAAAAGAGACACAACCATAATTTTTTTTCCCAAAAAACAATGTAGATAAACATATGGACTGAGAAAGAAGTAAGTAAGCTTATGCGAGATAATTTGATATTAGAGTCCAAGCATTCATATGATTAAGAGTATTATAAATGACTTTCCAGGCATGCGTCAGCTGAGATCGAAGTATACGGGGAATATTAAAGGATGACGGCCTTCACGTTTTACGAGAATTAGCACCTAACTCCTCAAGAATTTCGGATCAACACTGGATTGAAAGAGGCCAAAACAGGGTAAACCTTTTTTTCCTCTGTCTGGTCGTTCCTCATCGCCGCATAAATCATCAAGAATATCTTCTACACAACCAACAACATCCGGGTCGGTGAATACTTGCGGATCTTCTGCAACAAAACATTGGTCAATTGGTCAGTGCTGCTGCTACATGCTCTTCCTTTTCAGTTTCACTGGGTTTAAAAAAAAGTAAAAAAAACAAAAAAAAAATTAAGAACTAAAAAGTACTGATTGGCACAGCGATCGTAGCAGAGGCGATAACAAGGCTGATCATTTTTAAGAACCAGATTTCAAAACAGACATAGTCCTCCACTGTTGTCCTACTGAGGCTTACTTTCTACTATAGTTTTTTATCGGTTTTCACAGACCTGCGATGGATGGCGGATCCATACGGCAGGTAGTATCCACATT